AAAAAAAAAAACTTATCAGCTCAAAGACTTGATCCTTACGTTTCTAAAAGAATCAGATCCCACTTACCAAGAGTATATAAACAGTAAAATTGATGAAGTCCTATCCTTTAACATCTGACAATAGAATAAAAGAACCCATCCCTCTCCTTTCATTTCCTTTAGCCTTTTATGGCATATAGGAAGGAAATGAATGCAGAAGAAAAATCTATGAAGCACTTAAAAAAGTCCCCTGCTGGACTAAAACTCGGAAAAGCTTAAACCAGATTTGCAATTTGAGTCACAACTTCACATAGGATGTACCCATTAAACTCAATGCCACATAATTTATTTTATCAATTCCTACAACAAACTTTCCAGATATATCATTAGTTTTTCAAAATACCCACTAGTTAAGTTAGATTTTAAATTCACCATTGGTGGTGAGTTGTGGACAGGACACTGGTGCATTGAAACACATCGATCACTTAATGAAATAGCACATAAAAATGGAAAAAAGAAATGATATCTGAATCAGAGCCATGTATGTGTTATTCTTTTCTGAGATAGAAATCCTACCTCCAAGAACATCCACAGAGGTAACTTTTGCTTCATGCCCAGATAGTGTCTTCACAGGCTTAAAGTCACGGCCAGACCAAACCTACAGTTAAAACATAAATATGAATAAGTCTAACCAATTACCCATGCAAAGGTACTGTATCTCCATATAAATATAAATAAGTATACTAACTAAAATCAAAATAAACAAATTATGAATCTTAAAATTTCACTTCAATAAAACGTTTTAGGCAGAAATAGAAAGTATACCTTAGCAGTCATGTCATATGAAGCAGTTACCAAAAAGTAACCTTCTTGTGGTTCAAATTTAACTTGTGATATTAAATTCGAGTGAGCAGGAATAGTATAAAAGGATTTCTTCTTCCTCAAATCCCAAATCCGACACGTGTTGTCTTCACCACCAGTGGCTAGATGATATCCATTAGGTGAAAAACTGATGCCAAGAACCTTCAAAATGAATTACAATCAGTCATCCTTATGAAAGTAAGGCATTAAATATAACTTTGAGTGAGAAAAAGAGTGCAGGGTCTTTAATCTCCTACCGGTTTGACATGACCTTCCAGTGCAAGAATACTTCTTCCAGTTCGGAGGTCCCAAACACGAGCCAGAGAGTCTAGTCCACAAGATGCAGCTAATGATCCATCGCGGTGGAAAGCCAGGCCATACACACTTCTACTATGTCCTTCTTGAAGAAGCAACTCCTCCCCTGTTTCTATGTCCCATAATCTCCATGTCTTGTCAAAACTGGCAGTTCCCAGGTACTTCCCTGATGGATGGAAGGCAATGCGGGCAAGACGGTCCAGATGACCCTCAAATGTCTTCAAAAGTGATCCTTGATCATTCCAATACTTTGCTGTTCGATCAGCAGAGGCAGTTGCTAAATGATCATGAACAGGAGAAAAAGCAACATCTGTAGCACGTTCTGTGTGCCCCTTCAAGGTGGAATGTTTTTTTATTTTGGGCATGTTCCACAACTTGGAAGCGCCAGTCAGAGAACTACAAAATAAAAAAAACATTCAGTAGTAGATTGGAATGGTTTCACAAAGGAAGAAATGGTAAAAGATCAGGCTTAAGCTGTACAACAACAACATACCAGGTGGCAAGCCATTTTCCATCCCTTGAGAAGGAGCAACCAGAAAGAGGCCGATCATCTCCAATTTCACTGAATTCGAGACTCAAATTCCCAGCCTGCCTCAATGCCCAATCTATCTCTGCATCCATATCTTCATCTGGATCATCCCTTCTTCTCTGTGCACGTTGAATCCGTAATGCTGCCCTTGCCAAAGAATATTTAGCAATATAAATTCTGGCATCCAGGAGAGCCTTTGACCCTTCAGTGTAAAAAGGATACTGCAGTGCTTCCTCAGCCTCGTCTTTTGGAGCAGAAGCCGCAGCCTCTTCATCCTCATGAGCTTTCATCAGCTTCTCCAGCTGACCTTCTGCATCTAGCTTCGCCATAATCATCCGCAACCTGTCCCGTCTCTCCATCTCTCTCTCACCAAACAGAGTTATTGGCTCACCAAGATGTCGAAGCCGAGCTCGCACAGCCATATCATTTGTAGGAACGGCAAGAGCAGCTGCCCGCCTCTTCATCATGAGTTCCTGCATTGCCTTTTCCTGNTTTTGTGAGTGGTTAAGATGTTTAAAATGGATGAAATCTGTGGGGAGAAGGTTTGGTGATGGATAAGATAGAGTTCTACTTGGTTTAGAACTCAATTTGAGGAAATGAACTAGTGAAAACTTGAATTAGAGGTTCTGTGCTCAAATGGTCAGTTTGGAGAGTTTTGGGACTTGCTTGAGTCCCTAAGTTGCTTGAAATTGTGCCACAAGTGGTAGAATTCAATTTAAGTCTCTAAGTTGAGTTTTTGTAAGTTTTTGGGTGAGATCTTGAGGCTACTTGTTTAGATTGATGTTAGAAGGGTTTAAACACACTTAGTTAAATATAAGTAAGTATATAACACAATCTAGGAGGGTTAGAAGTTGGGAAAAATAGTTGGAATTGGTAAATTTGACGTAGGTTGCGTAATTCTGCAGATTTGGTGCTGCAGAATTATGCATACTCATTGAGCGAATTCACTCGCTCAGCGAGTGGTGGTAGAGATGGATTTTCTGTCAGAGGACTTTCGCTTAGCGAATGATATGCGTTAAGCGAATTTTTGAGGTATGGGAGCACTGTCACTATTATTCAGATAATGAATGACATGCGTTGAGCGAATTGTTGAGGTTTGGGAGCACTGCCAATTTTATTCGGATAGCGAATTACATGCACTGAGCGAAAATATCAGAGTTTTGACTAAGATATTATATGTTTTCTTAAAGTGTGTACAATGTATGTGAATGTTTGAATGATTGGTTTCTACTACTTGTTGTGGAGTATGAATTTAATTGTAATATGAATTAAAATACATAATGTTTGATTCTTGATGTTATGTATGTATTGAAAGTATGATTGATGTACGTAATTCCATGATCCTCACGGAGAGGTTACATGGTGGTGCCTAGTGTTGCGAATTAAAGTGAAAGTATGTTGTTTCAAAGTAAGTTCCAAGGTGAATGCTCTTGGTGAGGTTCAAGTGTTTTAGAATGAATACAGGGAACTCAGTATTAGGGGTTATCCTAACACTCTAATGATCTTTCTTTCTCAAATAGAGAGGATTGATACATGTGGTGAGAGTAGTAGGAGGTCCTAGTGTAGGCGCTACCTAGAGGCCTATTGCGCGGTAACGGACTAACCTTGTGTGGGTGGTAGGGTGAAACCCATTGACAATGACTTTGCAAAGTAGTAGAGGCCACCACAAGTGCACAACCCGTCATAGCTCGGTATTCATTCTAAGTCTGAACAGTCGGTTTAGGTCTTTGCATGTTAAGATGTTTTTATTGGATTAAATTACATATGATTCTTATGTGAAATGCTTTAAACTTATGATGTATTGTTTTGTATCTAGCTTACCCTTGATTTTTTGTTGCCTATCTTTGTATGTTGTTTCTCTTTTGCGATGATCACCTAATGGTGTGAGCTTAGGGATTCACCTTTTCAGTTGTTCCAGCTTGAGGTGAGGGAGTAGCATATGAGTTATTAGATAGATCTACAAAAGTAGATCTCTTCTTTGAAGGAGATTTGTTTTACCTAGTCGTTCTTTTAGCATCTATGTAACGTTTCATTTTGGTAGTTTTATACTATTAAAATGAGATGTTACAATTTATATATTATTATTGATATTACTATTATTATTATTATTATTGTTATTATTTATATTTTATCATTTTTATTATGTTATATTATTTTATTATGAAAATATAATAAAAATTAATTAATAAAATATAATATATGTATATACCTTGTAAAACTCAAGAAAATAGTATTTTAGAAGTGGTGAGAGTTTAAAAATAGTGAGAATAAGTTATTTTGATATTAAATTATTTATTTATAAATAATTTTATTATAAACGAGTTTGATTATTTTAAAATTTATCATCTCTCTTAGAAAACACTTTGACCTTCTCTCTAAGAGTTCTAACTCTTAAGTCATCTCTTTGACGATCAGGATGTACCTAAATGACTACATTGGTCTACATTCCTATCTGACAGTTTATGCAATAGAGCAAGTAAGTTTCGACTTCTTTTTGCTCTTTGTTCTTTATTTGAGACCATGCATGAAATCTTCCACCGCATGTGTAATATGAACTTTCCTTTGAGTTCATTGTTGATCAGAGGTCCTCAGAACTCTCCTTGATATCTTTTTGGTGTTTCTTATGTGTATTTATAATTCTTTGAGTCGGAAGCAACGCGATGCGGTTCTAGAGCTTAATAGGCAACTTTGTGAGGTAAGGGAAACTAATTTTATTTTCTAATTTAATTATTAAGTATAAAATGATATTTTGAAAGTATATGAAATTGATGCATGTTGTGATTGTGTGTATGTATGTTGGTTGTATATATAATTGTATATGAATAAAATGCTTGTATAGTGTTGAATGTGTTTGATTGAAGTTTAATGAATAAATAATGCTTGATTCTTTGTGTAATTTGGTGTAAAATGGGGGTGATTTGGTGAAGGTAATTGGTATGATGATATTGGTGAAAGGGGAAGGTTGATATATCATTTCGTAGTCCAAATTGAGGGGTATTGGTATACAAATTCTTAGAATATTGAGTTTAAAGTGGAACCTACAGTTTGGCAAGGGTTATTGGGTATTTTATAATTTGTTTATATCCTTAAATAGTCAAGTTAGGATGTTAAGTTGAGAGAAAGAAACTCAGTTCACTTTTATCTTTGCGTTAGAGTGAAATTAAGGGTTTTGATCGGTGAAATTAGGGGTTTTTATAGGTGAAATTATGGGAAAATGGTTGGTCTAGGAGAATAACAGTTTGAGGTCAGTTTTGAAGTCATTTAAGACTTATTGAAGTTTTCTAAGCAGCAAAATTTGGTGTAGAATGTAGTAGATGGTTTGTGAGAGTGTTTTACATGTTTAAGGTCCAAATGAAAGGATTTTGGGTAGTGAATTTCTAAAGGAGTAAGTATGTGATGAATTAGAGGGTTTAGGGTCCCTTGTTGAGTCAATTATGACTTATTCCTGCTTTTGGGTGGATGAAATTGGGGTTAGAAGGAATGGAAATGAGTTTAGGTAGTTTAGTGAAGTGGATTTTGATTTGGAGTAGTCAAATTGAGTTAGAAGTGAGTTTTCTGAAGTTTCTCAGTGTGCAGAGGGTTTTAGGGATCAATCAAAGTTGTGGGGAAAGTATCCAAAGTCATACTAATCGATTAGGCAATAACTTTTGTTTGAATCGATTATATCATTAATGTAATTGATTAAAATGCCAATTATGCCTTGTTTTACTTCTTCTGGCTTATTTTAAAAGATTAGATTAAAAGCATAATGGATTATGCCAAAGCTTTTGTTTTGACCGGTTATGTCTCTAATATAATATATTAAAATATGCAGTTTTGTCCTCTTTTGCTTTATGTGAATTCTAGCTTNAAACTGGATTATTATTATTTATATTATTTAATCATTGTTATTGATGTAAAATTCCAGAAAATAGTAGTGTGGAAGTGGTGGTAGTTTAAAAATAGTGAGACTCGATTATTTTAATATAAAACGGTTTTATTATAAATAATTTTGTTATAAACGAGTTTCATTATTTTAAAATGTACCATCTCTTTAGAAATCGCTTTTCTAGAGTTCTCTACCTTCTCTCTAAGAGTTCTTGATCTCAAGTCATATGTTCGATGATCAGGAAGTGTCTAGGCGATCCTGCATCGAAGGCTACAATTCCTATCGATTAATTTCTTGATTTGAACCGGTAAGTTGTTTCCCCTCTTTCTTCGTGAGTTCTTGAACCTTGATCATGCAATGGATTCTGTTTGCATGAAGTAGCCTTTCCCTTTAATTTTTTACTTCAATTAGGTCCTGAAGTTGGTTTCCTATAACCAATCGGTGAGTTGTAGGTTTTTGTAGAGTTTCCTTGCGGTGCAAGCAAACTGTCGGGGTTTCTTTGAGCTGTGCTTTTGATCTGAGGTAAGGGAAGCTAGAGTTTTCTTGAATTGATGCTAATTGTGTATGTTAGAGGATGCATGAATATTGAATTGTGTGAGTAAAATTCTATTCTATGATTGAATGTAGAGAAATCAATTAGGTGTTTGATGTTTTGTGTGTTGATGGATGATGTATAATATGTTGAATCTATTTGTATATGAGATTGATGTTGAATTTAGTGTTGATAAAGTGAATTGTGATGATGGAATTATTGGGAGCAAGGGTTACTCTTGGTTATAGGTTATTTTGGTCTAGAAATGAGGTATTAGAAAGTGAAAACTGTGAGAGAAGTCTTGTGAACTGGTTTGAAGTATGTGAAGTATGTTTTGAGTGTTTTGTGAGTGGTTAAGATGTTTAAAATGGATGAAATCTGTGGGGAGAAGGTTTGGTGATGGATAAGATAGAGTTCTACTTGGTTTAGAACTCAATTTGAGGAAATGAACTAGTGAAAACTTGAATTAGAGGTTCTGTGCTCAAATGGTCAGTTTGGAGAGTTTTGGGACTTGCTTGAGTCCCTAAGTTGCTTGAAATTGTGCCACAAGTGGTAGAATTCAATTTAAGTCTCTAAGTTGAGTTTTTGTAAGTTTTTGGGTGAGATCTTGAGGCTACTTGTTTAGATTGATGTTAGAAGGGTTTAAACACACTTAGTTAATTATAAGTAAGTATATAACACAATCTAGGAGGGTTAGAAGTTGGGAAAAATAGTTGGAATTGGTAAATTTGACGTAGGTTGCGTAATTCTGCAGATTTGGTGCTGCAGAATTATGCATACTCATTGAGCGAATTCACTCGCTCAGCGAGTGGTGGTAGAGATGGATTTTCTGTCAGAGGACTTTCGCTTAGCGAATGATATGCGTTAAGCGAATTTTTGAGGTATGGGAGCACTGTCACTATTATTCAGATAATGAATGACATGCGTTGAGCGAATTGTTGAGGTTTGGGAGCACTGCCAATTTTATTCGGATAGCGAATTACATGCACTGAGCGAAAATATCAGAGTTTTGACTAAGATATTATATGTTTTCTTAAAGTGTGTACAATGTATGTGAATGTTTGAATGATTGGTTTCTACTACTT